TTTTACTCTATAGAAACGCGTTTTAAAAGCACAAACATAAACAAAGCAAACACGGGGTTTCAGATAGCTTTGTGATCTTTGAGCTGGTAAAAAATAATTGAATGTGCAGTATAAGTTGAAATAGAACAGTCTACAGTTTTATTTGTAACAATGGCTAATGCTGAAGTCATGCGAGAAAATCATTTTCCGAACATTAGACTTAGAGATCTAAACTTAGAAATTTGACTGGGCTTTGTTTGACAAGGTCGGGCATAAACATAATTTCAGTAAAAAATGCACTAGGTAAAAATGTATTTAGTAAAAAATTTATTAAGACAAAAATGTATTTTTAGTGAGTTCAAAAAGAAAATTGAAAAACATAATAACAAAATCCAACATTTTTTATTTAAAATCTATTAAATAAATGCATAAAACTCGAAAATGAATGAAAATAACTTGCTAATTAATATTTTTTATTCATTTTGCAAAATAATTGCATTTCGAAAGTGGTGTCACTGAATCTGCTGCGAGAATTTCTCAGAACGTGCTTAACCATCGCTTAACCACGCTGAATAAGCACTCCACGGGAGGTCAAGGTATTTAAACTCACGAAGTTAGCTGTGAATGCTTATATATTGCACATTAATTTTATAAATTAAAAAAACATAAGCATTTTTTTTTAAAATTAAATTTTTTTTAAATTTTTTTTTAGAAAGATTTCTGAGTTTTAGAAAAAAGTAACGATTTCATTGGACATTTCCGTTACAAATACTTGTACTTTTTCCCTAAAAAAGTAACGAAAGTACAAGTAAAAGTACTAAATTTAAAAAGTAACGAAGTACAAGTAAAAGTACGTACTTTTTACTTGTACCGGCGGTACAAGTAACGAAAGTAAAAGTACTGCCATATATGTTTACGCCGCACTGGAGCTGAACAATGGGCAAATGGCGCCGGTCCGGGCACCATCCCTGAAGATGATTCGAAGACACGCCGTCGCAATTTTGATCCTCCGCAGAGGTCATGGCACCCCTGCTTTGGAAGTCCGACGACCTGCGCACGAAGTCGAGCACTTTACGTTAGAGCAGTTTATCGAGAACCGATACCGCAACCTCGGTCCCTAAGCAGGCTGATCAAAAATGTTACCCACCCGCTTACTGACAGCAGGCAGTGATACTTGATTTCAGTGTTCTACTGGGAACTGTGTCCTTACGATCAGCCCACTGCCTGGCACTCTTAAAAAAAGCTCGAAATAATAAAGGGTTTTTCACAAATTTCGTTTTCTACTATTAAACAAGATTTTTTAACAAATGATAATACCTTCTAATAGTGGTCCGGACAGCAAAGTTTGATGATATTAGGAAATAAAACATACGAAAGAAAAAATACTTTTTTGGGGGATGATCCCCAACAATGTGAAATTTTTAATAAATCTGGTGTAATTTTCACTAGATCTAGTTTAATAGTACAAAATGAAATGTCTGGAAAACTCTCTTATCCTTTTAAGTTTTCTTTTAAAGAGTAAAAAAAAAACTACTAACAAAATTTCAATTTTCTGAAACTGTGTTAATATCGAAATATTTCCATTATTTTGTCCAACCCGGTTGGTACAAAGGTTACATCAAAAAATCATACAAGTGTACAGTGCACGAAAAATGAATAAGTAAATAAGCGGTCCTACCTAAGTAATTTCTTATCTAATGATTGGATTTTCACGTTCTATGGCACAATCTTAATGATTTAAGGGTGACCTTAAATATACTAACTAATTAGGGAAGACGAGAATTAAAGTCGAAATAATTATACGACTTTTTTAAAAAAAATTCGATTTCTCAAGACCGATTTTGCTATAATTTTGTATGTTATCATGCAAAATTACATACTTTTAAATGATTAAAAAAATTTCCTACCTTAGAAATCAACAGTTTCGACAATTATGAAATAAAATAACAAAAAATAATTAATTATTACTAAAAGTTATTCTTTTCTTGAAATTATCTTTGGACAAGCGAATTTTATAATTGTGTGTATAATTTTTTCAATTCGCTTTAGAAGTTATTCAGATATGGTGAAATGCGCAAAAAGTAAAATTAACATTAAGTGGTCAAAAGTTTATTTTGGAGATCAGAAATTCGAATCCACGAAAGAAATGTATGTTTACTCAGAGAAAGTACGTTTTGAGTTTGATTTAGTAACTAAAAATATTTTCTGCACTAATTAATCAGCCTCTTTGAGGTCACCTGCTCAAACAATTAAATCGTGAAGAACCAATCCTTAAATCAAAAGTTATTCAGGGTGCTCCAAGTTATTTTTGCCCAAGTAGTAATAGTATGCATAAAGTACATCACTGCTAATTAATGTGATACGAAAAAGTCACGTCAAAATTATATATTCATTAATTATAGTTAAACAGAAAGAAATTTAGGGTTTTTTTCTTGAATAGTTTTTTCGATTAAGTTTCTATTCAATAATTACAATATACTTTCAAACATTACATAGTTGTAAGTTTCATTAACTGTTCTTTTTTATATATATATTGTTAATGAGTTTCAATGCGCCTTAATTGCTTTTTATATATTTTTTTATTTTATTTTATTCATTTTTAATCTTTGATAATATTATTGAATTGTATTAACATTTTAGATAGTAATTGGAGGAGATTGAATAATAGTTTGAGATAAAACAAGCATAAAAAATGTAATAAAAATCTCTTAAGACGCTCTGATTTCAAATATTTAATTCGGTTAAAGAAAGAGTGCTCCGACATCAGTAAAAACTGCTACTATATCATTTTATTTACGTACCATAATGTATAAAGTTTTATTTCCGTTTCCAAGAAACTAGCACATGCCTTAAAAAAAATCTTAAAATAAAACACGTCAAATATTTTGGAGAAATTTAACTTTGTTTTATCATACTTTTTTTTGTTTCGTTAACGAAAAAATCTTTTTTCTCTTCTTCTTTTTACTTTCAACATCTTGTAAAATTATCATTGGTTCAAAACAAAATGCAACTTCGTATAGAAAAAAATAATGAAAAGAATGTCTTTATAACCTGGATTTGTATCTTTAAATGAACATTTTAATTGCCTTTTTTACGGAAATCAAATATTCAGAAGCTCCATAACTACTTTCTTTATTCTAAATTTTTTTTCACACGTGGTATCTTCTACACTGATGCAATTTTCTTTCAGGATTTATTTCCTGCTGATAAATTTTCCCAACACAAAAATTTGTCTTTTTTATTCCTTGAGCAAAAAGAGGATCCGATGCTTCTCATTCGCCTTAACCTGGAAATTTTAAGTACATGAAACGCGTTTTATTTGGATGATGTTTTTTTTTTATTATTAAAAGCATTTTTTTTAAAAGTATTTCTCGTTCAAAATACATAAAACTAAAATAGCTGCCTCAATAAAACTTGGCATAAAACAAGAATCTTATGAACTGTAAATTTTGAATGCATTTATGCAGTTTAGATTTTATAGTTAAGACTTCAAATTCATTAAAAATTTACAAAATAAGTATAATAATGTTCTCTGAAGCTTTATGTTAAAATAATGCGAATTAATTTTCAGGTTGTCTGATTCCATTTTATACAATTACGCATTAGAAAATGGAAGTAGAAGTTTTTTCATATTAGTTACGTTTCATTATATTTGCCTTATTGTTTAAGAAAACATAAATTGCGCTTAAAGTAAAAAAAAAAAAAAATTAAAAAAGGCAAAATAAAAATTAAAACTTCATCAAAACTTCATTTTAACTAATTAGTTAAAGAAGTAAATTTGCAACCAATTTGCTTAAATTATTATTTGATACAAATACATTTTTAAATGGAAATTACAGTTTTTATTCGATTTCCTAATAAGATTTGTACGAAAGAATTCTTTTTTTAGCAAATTGGACATTTTTAAGAAAATTGACTTTATATTAATTATTCAAAATATTAATTAATTTAAAAGCATGTGTATTTATATGTAGTCTACGCTGTATTTAGTCTTTTAGAAACCTTTTTTTATGTACCAATAGGATGACGAAAGGTAATTTTAATTCTTAATTTATAGGAATGATACCTGAAATGAATATTGAGCCCTTCATTGGGCAGGATTTTCCAGAGAATAGTTTTACATCATGAACTATTTATAAGTTTTGCATCGAAGAACATCTGACTTATACTCTATCAAAAAAATATATTCTATATTGGAGTGAAACATGAGTTAAATATTTGTTTTAATGCATTTTTTACTCGATAAATATTTAAAAAGCATATATTTTCTTGGAAAAAATAATAGCAATATTAGTGCTCTCATTTCAATTGTTTTATGATAAATAAAAAAATAATGTGCTAAAATTGTTTAGGTCAATTTTCATTTTCTTGAAGAATGTAGTTAAAAATACAATTTTACTAGTTAACATCTTTGTATTACGAAACATGATTTTAATTTAATCAGACAAAAAATTTCTTAAAATTTTTCTGAATATTTTTACATGTATCAAAATGTATGAATAATGTTCAACTTGTTCAAATTGGGTTATTTTTAATCATATTTGAAGACAAGCAGTTTGTAGAAATTCTGTGACATTTTATTAGAAGTTTGGGAATGAGTTGAAAAAGCGCTTTTCGACAGGTGGCGCTTTATTTGCATTCTGTAGTTCTTCTTCCAGTACTGAAAGTTCATATCGCATGTTGCAATGAATCTTGTAAGATAGATAGTAACCTGGCTTTTAAAAATTCTAATCACTGTTGCATGATCTAAATGGACATTGCTTTTTGCACTTTATTTAAGTTCAAAAATCAAAATATTATACCTCATGTGAGAATATAAATAATTTTAAAAATTATGCAATTTTTTTTAATTAATGTAACTAAAACACTTTTAATTACCTGCCATAATTTATAACAAAGCATTGTACTTAACAGATATTCATTTTTATCTAATGTTTAATTAAATATTATTTTTCAAAAAAATATTATTTTTCTTTTGCTTGTTTTTCTTTCTTACCAGGAATTAAAAATAGAATGAGCTAACTTTTACTAACTTTATCATGATAAAAAGTCATGAAGATAAGTTGTCCTTTGTTTCTATGTGTTCAGAATCTCACTATGCTCACAGAAAAAATCCAATTGATACCTGTAATATATTTACCAAATTGGATACTTATATTCTTCACATTTCTCCTTCAAATGTCTGCGTAAGTATTATTTTTTTCTAATAAATGATTTCAAAATGTAGATTTTTTTAACGTGTATATGTAATTACAGCAGTTTGATGTTTACTGCTTTATTTTTTCCATAAAAACTTTATTTTTATCAAATTATTTTAAATATTTCGTATATATATTTCATCTTTTTTTTATAAACATGTGATTTAACTCAATTCAGATTTTTATTTTTTGCAGAGCTAGATTTTTAAATCAAATTAAAAGGCGATACACTGACTAATTTTAAATTATATGTCTCAACAGCTATAGCTCATTTATCATAGCACATTTTAATTCATTTTTAACTATATATTTTAACTATATTACAAATCCCTTTCGAAAAATGCTAGAAATTTTTCGAGCTGTAACTTAACGAAGTTTGCTTGCATAAATATTTATTGGTATTTTTTAAAACAATTATGTAAATAATTAAACCAAATTATATATTTTTAACTATGCATAAACATTAAACATTAATGACAACATAAACGCTGCTATTAATAAAATATCTATTTTAATTTGAGAAATGAGCAGGCTTTGGCAAAATGCTTTTAAAGCATATTATATTCTCTGACTAAATATGCGAATAGTATATCAGTTAATAAATACAAACCAATTCATATTTGTAATATATTATTTATTTTATAAAATAGTAGCTGTATATTACATGTGTACCAGAGAAGAAAATTATATAAAGGCAGTTATACTGCTAAAATACCAAAAATATTTTTTACCGAAGATTTAAAAAAAAATTTTTTTTAAATGTTTTAGTTTTAAATATTAACTCTTTTTACAATTAAATAGCATGTGCAATTTTTATTTTCAATCAGCATATTTCAATGCTTGAAATATTTTTCTTAAGGAATAATATCAATAAATTCATTAATATAAAAAAATTCAATAATATAAATAAATTTAATAATATATCATTAGTTTCGTGAGTGATTAATTGTGAAACATTTACATTAAAACATCTGCTTAACATTGTAGCGAAAGCTTACAGTAAAACATTTATAGTAAACAAACATAACATTACAGCAACATTTTAAATTTTACTTGCATTATTAAAATATGTTCATAATATTAGCAAAAATGAAATTTGTCTAATAAAAAGATTGTTTACTAATAGAATATCTTTATTAATGGATATCTAAAAAAATGCATTAGAGAAATCTAAAATATTTAAACTAAAAAAAAAAAAAAAAAATACAANAGTAAAAAAAAAAAAAAAAAAAATGCATAGATATTTTTGAATTTTTTTATCAGACAAGTCAACCAAAAGAAAAGAGTTTAAATAATGTTATTTACCGCTAAGACATTTAAAATTAATGCAACAAGATTTAAAAATAAATTGAAAGTATTAAAATGTTTGATTTAGTAAGAACTGCTTTTATTTGCAAATAGTGTGGATGCGAGTTGGTGCACTAATGAACCAATTAATGGACAAATCATTGAGCTGGTGCATTAGAGAATCATACTTTTATCAAGCTAAAGATTCAGTATATTGGTATATAAATAAAAAATAGGTTTTTAAACCTATAATTTGAAGTGCGGTAGTCAATAGCTAGATTTTCTTTTTCTACTTGAACCGGGAGGAACACAAGTAAACTATGTGCAAAACAATTGTGTCCGCTAAGTCCATTTCTAAAATTATTATTAAAGATGTGTCCATATTTAAAACTATTATTGAAAATATGTTAAATAAAAACTTTACATGAATGGGATGTATAAGATAATTCAGTGATTTTCTTTTCCGTGTTACGCAAATGCGGCTTAGTTGCATTCAAAACGTCCATCAGGAAATCGTGATTGCCCTGTAAAAACGATTATTTCCTTGTCTTTAGATTAAAAATCATTTAACTTCTGAACTTTTGTATTCCGTGACACAAGAAAGCTCTTATTAAAACAACATTTTTTTTGACTAAATGAATAATTTCTTCTGTTAGCTACTACTTGATTTTTGAAAAGAATAAAAAATATTTGCGTCATGTGTAAACAGTCCTGCTTCAGATAAGAAGAATTCTAGCATTTCACATGACGTACACAATGTCAACATAGGTTAGTCAAGTTTACGTATGAGAAAGACATGGCCTTATCCCACCATTCAAAATATGCTATTTTTCTGCATAATGGAAAAATATTAACTCTCTTCTTACTTACGTGTAACCTTTAGTCGGCGTTTCAAATGTCGATTGGTGGGTAAATGGTAAATTTGGAGGCATTACTTCGAATCCTTCTCATACAAACAAATCTCGAAAATATGATATTAAATCATCCAGATATATTCGAAAATTGTAATTAGTTCAGATTGGGAAAATAATTATCTAGGGATACTCGAATCCTGTGTTATGATAGTAATGTCACTGTGTTGTTGCATTATGTTCTTTCGTTAATTTTAGTTTATTGAACTTGGTAAAGTGGCAATAAACTGGCTATTCACCTATCAGATTCATAATAATAGATGTTTAAATCCATATCAGTAAATCCAACTATGATGACAAGGCAATTGAAATTCTGCAGTTGAGATGCAAGCGAGGCTTAAGTTGTCGCATGTCTTATCACATGGGAAAATTAAAATTTCGTTACAAAACAAAGTATCAAAAATATCTCTCATTATTCAAGTAATTTAACAATAAAAAATATTAATAAATTTTATAGGCAGAATATTTTTCAACCAATTCTTCGTTAAAATGTATATTTATACCAACAATTGAAAATACTTTGCTTGCGGATGCTAATGCATTAATTCAAATAGTCTAAGGTACGATAACTTATTAGACCCTAGTTTTTTCGGCGTAATTATTGGTCAGTAGCAGCTTTTACATAACTTCATGTGTTTTCATGTTTATTTCTGTCCTTTCGATAACTTTATTAGAAGTTGGTTGTTACTTAGACCCAGCCAGTGTTTAACATAAATTTTCTAACCGCATGAAAATAGTTGAGTTTCCCAGATAAATTTATTCTCAATCAATTCTTAGATGAAATGTATAACTGTACCAATAACTGGAAGCATTTTACATGCTGATGTGTAAATACAAAGAGTTTAAGGTACTGAATCTCCTGTATGATTATTCGTCAATTTTTCTTTTCTTTTAAGAAGCTTAAAGCACCAAATTGCATCCTTGTTTTCATGGTATGATTTTTGGTAACTGGAATTTTTTATATCTTCAGACAATATCAATATTTCAGTCTTTTCAGTAACATTATTGGGTATTAGATGTTACTTTAATGCACTTCATTCAGTCATAATCTAGATTTCTGTCTGATAAAAGTAGTTGACCCTGATTCCGATTTAAAAGGCTCATACCGATTCTTGAGCCGCACATCAAGTACATCTAGGAAGCTCAATTTTTGTGTGTTTAGTAATTACTGTCCACAGCAAAAATGCTTTAATAAATGAAACTGTTATTGCTTCAGATTAAAAACTGAAAATTAAAAATCTTTGGCAGATAGTATTTTTCTAAGAATTTTAATTTTGTTTTAGAGTGGTTAATTTCCATTAAAAAAGTGAACTAAGAGTTTTCATTCTAAAAAGAAATTTATTTTAAATTTTTCTGATTTACATTTCTAACTCGAATTTGAGATTAATTAATTTTAAATTTAATTCAAAAAATCTTTTCTGTTTAAAATATTGCAAGATAAAAGTACATTCAAATAAAGATAAATATTTAAGAAAACAAAGTTCTTCGTTTAAAAATGTGAATAAATCTCAGCATTGCTTCTTTAAAGTAAATGAAAAATTCTCTGGGGTTGGAAACATAATTTACATAATAAAAAAAATAATTTCCTCGACTTAGTTTTCTCTTCGCGTAGTTTGTAGCGATAAATGAAAGCTAATGAGTTATTATAATGAAGAATTTTGCAGATTCTTGTTTTAAATAGATTAATTTATCTCATTTTAGAATTAAGTTTACCTGAAAACGTGAAATTATTCATGAAAAAATAAAAGAAAATAGTATGCTTAAATATTCGAAAACATATTCCAGCAGTAATAAAGCCTTTATGTAAAATTTTATGCACTTTCAAGAACAAAATACAAGGTTCAAGGCTCATAAAAGTACTTTTCTTTTTGATCCAGGCAGTGGTAAAATCTGTTTTCTTTGTTTATTTTTGAATATTAAATTGGATTTCTTAAAATTAAATCATTAAAATTTTTTAATTTACATCTTTTCCAACATAATATTTCATTAAAAAATTTAACATAATAAATTGTAACGTAATTTAATACGTACTTAATTACGTATTAAATTACGTATTAACGTAATGTAATACGTAATTTAATAAACTATTCTTTTTTTTTATTGCTGACTAATATTTTTTTCCATTGTAAGCACTAAATTAATTAAAGTGTTTTTATTCGTTCAATATCACCATTGTTGAAATTAATATAAATAAATAAATTTTTTTTCCAAATATTTTATAGAACTTACTAACTTTGACCAAAACTACTTGTTTTATTTATTTACTTACTTTTTAATGCGGCTTTGAAATAAACTGCTTTTAAATAAGATCTTTTTGACTTTCGGGATTAAGAAAAGCGTAAAGTATGTTTTAATCAAAATAAGTTTTTAATTTTGTGTAACAGAAAAAAATCATTTGCAATGGACTTTTCCTAATGTTTTTCTTGGTTTTCAATCATAGTTTCATCCTATTTGCCGCAATATGTTTTCAATTACTAAAAATGTGTTAGTTTATATGATATTAATGCTTTTTCTTGATTTCAATTTTTCTTAATGTTTTATTATTGTATTTAAAATTCACCTTTTTAAATGTCTCGTGCATACAACGGAGAAGTTTAATTGAAGTGTTTATGGCAATTTAAGAAGTCTAAAATATATTTTAAATATATAAGATAATGCTACAATATATAAAATACTGCCTAAGCAAAAAAAAATTTTGGATTGAAAACTTGTAGTATATAAAGCATATTTTAGTTATATTGAGAAAATTGCATTGCTTTGTATCACTCCAGACGTATGGAATTAAATTAA